GTGTCCATCAGTGATAAAATCTTCATAACTCAGTGAAGGTAGATTATCTGCCTGTAGCAGGTAGGGAAACCAAAGCTCTCTATATTGGTTGAATGAATAAAGTGCTTACATATAAAGTTACTGTAATAGTAACAGTATTTTTTAATTTTTATTTTATGATTTTTTAAGGATCTGTTTTATTTATTTGAAAGGCAGAGTTACAGAGGGAGAGACAGAGAAAGAGAGAGATTCTATCCACTGTTTCACTCCCCAAATGGCCACAACAGCCAGGGCTGGGCCAGGAGCTTCATCCAAGTGTCTCACAAGGGTGCAGTGGCTCAAGGACTTGGGCCATCCTCCTCTGCTTTTTCCCAGGCGCATTAGCAGGGAGATGGATTAGAAGTGGAGCAGCCAGGATTCGAACTGGAGCCCTTATGGGATGCCAGCATTACAGGTGACGGGCTAACATGCTACACCACAGTACCAGCCCCAGTATAATAAGTATAAGCAGACCTGTATATTTGTTTAATACTCTGTAATTTATTACAGTCCTTTTACAGTGTGGGTACCTTGTCCTTAAGAACAGGGGCTGGTGTTGTGGTATAGTAGGTAAAACCGCTGCCTAAGATGCCAGCATCCCATGTGGATGCTGGTTTGTGTCCTGGCTGCTCCACGTCTGATCTAGTTCCCTGGTAATGGCCTGGGAAAGCAGTGGAAGATGGCCCAAGTGTTTGAGCACCTGTACCCATGTGGGAGACCTGGATGAAGCTCCTGGCTTTGGCCTAGCCCAGCACTGGCTGCTGCAGCCATCTGAGGAGTGAACCAGTAGATGGCAGATGTCTACTATCTCCCCTTCTCCGTAACTGACTTTCAAAATAAATATTTAAAAAGAAGAGGTCTCTTCTAGAAATGGCCATTCAGATGATACTGCATTGTTAGAAATTGGAGAGCAAGCTGCTTAGGCAGTGGAGTTGGGTGTTAAAAGTCTAAGATTGTATTTATGTAGCCTTGAGTTATTAAACAAATGTGTATATTTTAGACCTTAGCTTATAGTAAATCCTTGTCATAAATAAAATACCCAATGTTCATTCTTAGGAGTTCTTATAACACAGAATTAATATGGTTATTACCACATCATCATAACTTGGCAGCTTGGGAAGAAAAAGGTATAGTTTTCTTTTTATATTTGAGGCATAGACCAATTTAAAAACTTAGAATAATTTTGTGTGTAACTGGAACCCAAAATCTGTTTGAAGGATTGAATCTCTCTTCTTTTTTTTTTTTGGACAGGCAGAGTTAGTGAGAGAGAGACAGAGAGAAAGGTCTTCCTTTTTCCATTGGTTCACCCCACAAATGGCTGCTGCGGCCGGCACGCTGCGCTGATCCGAAGCCAGGAGCCAGGTGCTTCCTCCTGGTCTCCCATGCGGGTGCAGGGCCCAAGGACTTGGGCCATCCTCCACTGCACTCCTGGGCCACAGCAGAGAGCTGAACTGGAAGAGGAGCAACCAGGACAGAATCTGGTGCCCTGACCAGGACTAGAACCCAGTGTGCCGGCGCTGCAGGTGGAGGCTTAGCCTAGTGAGCAGTGGCGCTGACCCTGAAGGATTGAATCTTAATCATTTGAGTGGACAAAAAAATCTTTTTTTTTTTTTTTTTTTTTTTTTTTGACAGGCAGAGTGGACAGTGAGAGAGAGAAACAGAGAGAAAGGTCTTCCTTTGCCGTTGGTTCACCCTCCAATGGCCGCCGCAGCCGGCGCGCTGCGGCCGGCGCACCGCGCTGATCCGATGGCAGGAGCCAGGTACTTCTCCTGGTCTCCCATGGGGTGCAGGGCCCAAGCACTTGGGCCATCCTCCACTGCACTCCCTGGCCACAGCAGAGAGCTGGCCTGGAAGAGGGGCAACCGGGACAGAATCCGGCGCCCCGACCGGGAGGATTAGCCTAGTGAGCCACGGCGCCGGCCCAAAAAACATCTATTTTTAAATGCTTTTGGCTTGGAAATCTATTAGTACTTTAAGAAAATAGGGTATTTTATATTTCTTTTACCCTCTTCCAAGCCGACTGTTGAAAATGAAGAAATCATTGTCTTATTTATTGTTACGTCTGAGTGGTTTGAAAGCACTATCAGAGAACAGAAAGGGTCGTTTCTAAGTAGGGTGAGCAGTAAGAAAGGAGCCATCAGTGTGTGACTTTCCTGTGGATGCTTTTATGAATTCTTATTACAAAGGAATTGTGCTGGCCGGTGCCGCAGCTCAACAGGCTAATCCTCCGCCTTGCGGTGCTAGCACACCGGGTTCTAGTCCTGGTTGGGGCTCTGGGTTCTGTCCCGGTAGGCCCTCTTCCAGGCCAGCTCTCTGCTGTGGCCCGGGAGTGCAGTGGAGGATGGCCCAAGTGCTTGGGCCCTGCACCCCATGGGAGACCAGGAGAAGCACCTGGCTCCTGCCTTTGGATCAGCGCGGTGCGCCGGCCGCGGCAGCTATTGGAGGGTGAACCAACGGCAAAAGGAAGACCTTTCTCTCTGTCTCTCTCTCTCACTATCCACTCTGCCTGTCAAAAAAAAAAAAAAAAAAAAAAAAAAAGGAATTGTGCTGTAGATATTTACAAATGTAAAAGCATCGTCTGAAAGACTTCTTCACAGGGGAGCAAGACTTCTCGGACGCGGTTTGTCTGAGGACCACACTAACTTGCCTCCAGTGAAGCTTTCATGGCAAGGGGACTTCTTCATGTTAGCAGTTAGAACCAGTCCAGCATGCGAGTCAGCTGAACTTCATGACCTTAAAGTTAAGAGATTTAAATCTTTCCTGTACTGTTCAGAATTGTATGGCCTGTCCCAGTTAAGTTACAAGAGTCTTCACTCAGTGGACAGATATTGAGCCTGCACTGTGCAAGAAGATGCCGAGGACAGAGGTAAAATCGAGCACCCAGCGTCCAGTTGCTTCTAAGATCACCATGGATGACTGTGTTCATGTTACATATGTACACAGTGTGTCGGAGCTGCCTTACTTTCATGTAGGTTAAATTTTGAGTTGCTAAGAAAGAGTGTGTGTGAACAGAGTCCATTGGCTGAAAGTTTGAAAATGACTCACAGGGCACAGAGCTCATCATTGCTGTCTCAGCAGCATGTGGTGGCATTCATAGGACAGTGTAAGCATTTTCATATACTGCATTATAATTTTCTCCATCATCTTAGAGCTTCCATGATACAGGCTATTTCGCAATTTATCTGCAAAACCTAATATCCTCTCTGGTGTAAACGAGTAGCTGTTTGTATTTGGCAGGGGCGGGAGTGCCTTGGTGGTGGCTCCTTGAACCACAAGGCTATAAACACTGTACACTGACATCCTTTGTATGCCCCATAGTGGACACCTGAAATAGTCCCTTCGTATCATTTTCAGTTATCCTATTGGCATCAGAGAAGGAGACATTATATCCTTTATATAGGATGAGTTTTGAGAAATTGTAGGCATTTGGGTCACCAAGGGCAGCTGGGACCCAGATATTCTGAAGGAGACACCCAGAGAGGAAGATGGCCCAAGTGTTTGAGCACCTGTACCCACGTGGGAGACCTGGACAACACCACCTGGCTGTGGGTGACTAGAAGCACTGCCGCCCCTTTCCCGTTTCATTTTCTCCCTCTGAAGTACTGCCTCTCACTCTCTCAGCCCTCCGCAGAGCACAGCGAGAACTTCTCGCAGAGGAAAGAGGTCAGTGACGGAGCCAAGATGGCATGACCCGCCCATATCCTATTCGGGACATATTTAACACTATCATTACCAGCTCCTCGCTCTTCAGTCGTGAAACAGTGCACTGACACAGTACCTCTGATGTTGGCCAAGAGCTTTTCTGGCCAGCGAAAGGAAACAATCCGTCAGCCACACTATTCCAGGCCCCTCTGACCTGCACAGCCCACACCAGCAAGTGGGCTGATTATAAACGCGGGGATTCCAGTTAGTTCTAGTAAGTGTTGATGGAAGTAAGCAGTCTGTGGAAACAATTCGGAACCAGGTGTTCTGGTCAGAAGTAATTTCCCCACGGGTTAGAGCTCGTCTGGGTGAGACTAAGCGGTGTATGTGAAGACAACTCAGGGTTGCCCCTGCTTTCCAGAGCAGCTCCTGGTGGGAGCGCGTGTACAGCTTCAAGCCCTTGGCACACCTCTTGTTCTGGTGCACAAGTTTTCTCTCTCCATTTAGGTGAGGGGAGCTCATTCTTACTTTAGTCCAAGCAAAGAGAGATTGCAAAATCACACAAGGTGCTTACATCCCACATTTGATTGCTAGGCTACTGGATTTGAACGTAATAATGTACAGTCCCTTGGTTAACAGAATTCCGGGCCTGGGAGCCGAGTGGCAGGTAATACCCATCTCGCAGAGCTCTTAGGGGGTCCGTGGTGATTTTACTGAAAAGCAGACAGCAAGGCTGAGCACATACGTTGGCTATCACTCTAGCCACCTGAAATCTCCTATACACTTTTCCGTGGTCCCTAAAGTACTTCCTACCTACAATAAGCAGGGACAGGAGTTTGTCAAGCACAGAGCCTTTATTTTACACATTATTTCCAAAGAGGACATCGTTTAAGTTGAGCAGCCAACAGGATATATAAGAAAGTGACAACAAAGGTAACTGGCTCAAGTCCCCCTGTGTACCTCATGGACACTGCATGTGTGAGCACCTTGTGTGTCTGGCTTGAGTGAAGGTAAGGCAGTGATTATGCGAACCAGAAGACTGTCCTGTGGTTAGGAAGGCTGCTACATGCATCACACAAAATGCACAACCTGAAAGGTTTCCATCTGCAACCGAAGTTTCCTCAAGCAAGGACGTTTGTGGACAGTGAGGAACACATACAGAGCAACTTGGGCAGAGAGAATGGATAATGCTGTGGGGCGGCGAGGTTAGCACACTGATCAGGAGCCCCGCACAGGAGGAGCCGTCCCAGCGGCAGAGCAGGCTAGGAGGGTGAGCAGCAGCCATCTCCAGCCACCTTGAGTGCCTTCCTGCCTTCACTCTAAGTTGAGCAGCTCCACGTCAAAGATGAGGGTGGCATTGGGAGGGATGACACCGGGGTGGCCCGTGGCTCCGTATGCCACATCAGGGGTGCAGGTCAGCTTCGCCCTCTGCCCCAAGCTCATCTAGCAGGGATGGGGGCAGATGGGGAGAGGAGAAAGAGGACCCAGCTTGATTTAAAAGAGAAAAATGAGATAACTATGGCATTTCCCCAAACCATCCTCATGGTTAACTCTAAAGACCTGAGATGAAATCGTAGAAATTATGCTAAGAGTTGCAATTAATGCAGGGTCTGCCTCAGAATAGCAGAGACTTGATTGTGAGGTAACAGCTCCCACAAAATTGTCTGAAACTCATTCATCCAGCAAATATTACTGGTTATTCAGTAAGCAATGGCCCAAATACTATCATTTATTCCCAGTTGTTCCTCACTCTTCAAAAATGTAAAGAGTTGATGGACATCACATGTACACTGAAGTTGGTGATTGGAACAATTCATTAAAGAAGTTCAGAGATAAGAGGCCACACAAAGTGGTGAGGGCTGACACCCAGCTAATGGAGTTGTCACATGACCTAATACACAACCAGGAAGAACCTGAACCAGGACTCCACAGTTGTCAGGGAACCACTAGACACTGTTGGCCCACTTGGGACAACTGGTGGAATTTGAATTCTGAATTTGGAATAATTAATTCAAAAATTTGAATAGGTTGGCTTATAACACTGTGTCCATGCCGATGTCCTGGTTTTGGTCATTGTAGTGAGGGAAGACACTAACATTCGGGGAAGCTGGATAGAGTACATAGGAACTCCAGTGTCTCTGAAAATATGTGTGTTTTAAGTCTGAAATTCTTTCCAAAAAAGTTGAAAACCAAGACCAAAAATCTTTCTTGGGCTAACCCACCCCAACTCTTCTGCTGTCTCAGTTCCAGGCAGCTGGCCTCCAGCTACTTCAAACAAGCCTAGGAGCGTGATGGACTTGGGGTGAGTCCCCAGTGACACAAAGGAGGCATGCGGGGATGCGAGGCCAAGAGCGGACACCAGATGGCGCTGCCATGCTCTGGTAGTCAGGCAATGCTCTAGGGGTCTGCAGGGTGAAGGAGTTGGATGCAGAGTACTGAGCCCAGATCCCCACTCCCTTTCATGGGTATCCTCAGCCTACCTGGGCTGCACCTTCTTCAAAACCTTTGATGACTTCCTGTTTGCCAATTCGGAACTTGAAAGGTTTGTTTCTGTCTCTGGATGAATCAAATTTCTTCCCATTTTGGAGCATTCCTGTGGAGGCAAGAATAGGGTGGGAAATGCAGTGTTGTGAGTTAACTCCCAGTTCAGATTCAAGGTGCGAGAAATGGAATTCCTCTTTTGCATGAACCTGCTCCTCCTCCACTCCTCCCCACTCGCCCAGCTGCCCATGCAAGAGACCCTGACACTGCCCTCACCTCACCAGGTCCTACACAGCTTTGGACTCCGTCTTCTCCATTTCTATTACCACCACCCTGGGGTCTCACCAAGTCTCCGTCATATCTCACCTGTGGACAGCAATAGCCTCCCAAGGAGTCCTAGTGCTCCACGCCTACTCCTCTAATCCTATCTCCACCCTATACCCAGGCTGATTACTTTTTCCTTTAAATACAGATTCTGATCATATTACTCCCCTGCTAAAACACTTCATAGCTCCCCAGTGCCTACTACTGCCTGCATTAAACTCTCCCCTCCCTCCCCCTTGAGTCCTGTTCAAATCATAACTTTCTCAAATTCCTCTGCACTTCAGTTTTCCCATGCCACTTCCTCAGCCTAAAGGTCTGTCTGCTCAGGCGTTCCAGCCTTGGGTTGAATCCTCCTCTAAGGTTCCCAAGGTTTCCAAAGTTTCCAAAAGTGCAACTCGAAAGGTCAGGTCATCCCTTTCTGCAGTGAACAGTGTAAGGTCTCTCGCTGGCCTCCAGCCTCCATACAGTCAGGGCTGTTTGAGGCCAGAGCAGCCCTGGTGCTCCCTCCAGCAGTTCAGAGCACCCCTCATCTTCCAGCTGCATCCCTGATGTGTGCCTGCACTGGTGACCCTGCCTCAAAGCTCAGAGCTTGTGGAAATGAAGTCAGGCCCTGACTTCTTCCTGTAGCCCGTGGACACTGCTAATGCGATCTGTGGACAGAGGAAGACCTGGCCTGTGCGTCCAGCGATCCCGACACTGGGTTCTGACCTCACTCTGGCGCTAACTCACTGGGTAATGTTGGGCAGATCACTGCTTTCCCCATGCCTCAGATTTTCCACGTTTAACATAGGCAGTTCAGCCGGCTTAGTGTCTGAGCATCTATGAGTTCACTTCCTAATTCCTAGGGAAGCAGTCTTATTCACCTACTTTCTGGTAGGATAAATTGGGCTCTTGCCCTCAGCACTATCTGAGGCAAAGGAGAAAACTCTCTGGCTACACGAGATACACAGATGGGTGCTAAGGAGATCAAATACAAGCTCATGCATACACACGGGTTGCTAAGATATTCAAATACAAGACGCTTATGCACGTTCACATGCACTCACACACACTCAGGAGGAAAGCCCTGACGTCCAAACAGATGCTAAGAAAGTGTTTAGACACACAGATTTACATACATTCATACAGACACGTACTTGGAAAGATGGGCACTTGGATATGCACACACATAGGCTCTCACATTCACAGCTCCATTTATAGACTGGCTTTCTCATCCCTTAATTTCTTCAGGTTTCAGATGACTTCATCTACATCACTACATCAGGCCATTTACAGTTATCTCTTGTTACAAGCACAGCCAAAACCATGCAATCCAGAAACAGATCCATACGTAGGAGTATATGGCTGGGTGATTTGTCAAAGATTTCACTGGAATGTAGCAAGTAAGGAAGATGTTTTGGGTTAATGTAGCTGGATCAACTGTCTCCATAAGGGAAAAACAATGAATATTGACCCCCTATCTAACCCACACACCAAAATCAATTCCAGAAGAATCTCATGAAAGATAAAGCTTCTATAAGATAATAATTGGGGGCTGGCGCTGTGGCATAGTGGGTTAAGACTACCTGTGGTGCCAGCATCCCATATGGGTTGGAGTCCCAGCTGCTTCTCTTCCAATCCAGCTCTCTGCTTATGGCCTGGGAAAGCGGTGGAAGATGGTCCAAATGCTTGGGCCCCTGCACCCATGTGGGAGACCTGGAAGAAGCTCCTGGCTCCAGGCTTTGGATCGGCCCACTTCTGGCCGTTGCAGCATTTGGGGAGTGAACCAGAGGATGGAATACTTTTCTCTCTGTCTCTCCCTCTCTTTATCTTAACTCTACCTCTCAAATAAATAAAATCCTTTTAAAAAAGATAATAAATAGAAGAATATCTACATGTCCTAGAGGTAGACAAATATTTCTAGAACTGCACGCAGAAAGTACTAGCCATAAAAGAAATAGGCTGAAAAGTCTTGAAATTAAGAACTGTTCAGGGGCCTGCATTGTGGCATCGCAGGTTAAGCCACCGCCTGCAACACTGGCATCTCATATGATCACCAGTTGAGTCCTGGTTACTATTCCTCAATCCAGCTCCCTGCTAATGTGCCTGAGAAAGCAGCGGACAATGGCCCAAGTCCTTGGGCCTCTGCACCCACTTGGGAGACCAAGATGGAGTTCCACACTGCCATCTTTGGCCTGTCCCAACCTTGGTCACTGTGCCCATTTGGGGAGTGAACTAGCAGATGGAAGATATTTCTGTCTCTCCCTCTCTGTAACTACCTTTCAAATAAATAAATAAAACAAAACCACTTCTGTTTAAAGGTATCATTAAGAGAGTAAAACAGCATGGCACAACGTGGGAGAAAACTTTTGGAACAGGTATAACCAACGAGAAAGTCATATCTGGAAAACACCACAACTCCTATAAATCAGTAGGAAAAAGGCAGACCATCTTTTTAAATGAAGAAAATTTGAACATGTCTAAAGAGGATATCCAAGTAGCCAGTAGCACCTGAAAGTTCATTGTTCATGAGGGAAATGCAAACCCAAACCACAATGAGATGTTACCAGGCGCCTACCAGACCGGGCCAAAAATAAAACAACAACCTGACAATACCAACCGTTGGTGAACTGGAGCTCCCACTGCCGATGGACGAGGAGGTAGGCACAGCCGCTTTCAAGAGGAGCGTGGCAGGGCTGCTGACGCTGAGCAGGTCCCAGCACTCCCTCTTTGGGGATGCGCCCCAAAGAGACAATGCACATGAGGGGTCTTCAAAAAGTCCTCAGAAAATGCTGCTTATGAAAAACTGTTTTGCACACAAATAATCTTCTAACGCCATTTTCCTATGAACTTTGGGGCGTAGTCCCGTATGTGCGCTAAGAGGCATTTCCAAGACTGCAAACACTTCTTTTCACAGCAACCATCGAAGAGCAGCTGCCTCGCAGCCAGACACCTCAGCAAGGGCCACAGTGACCAAGAACGTGAGCAAGCTCGGGGACAAGAGCCGAGGGGCCTGTGGCTGTGCCTTGTGGAAGTACCATGCCACGCCATTGCTCAGGGCCTCCAAGGACAGATGAGCCCTCAAGTTATTAAGTGCAGCGTAAAGACATCTATCCCTGCCAAGAGGAAGTAGGGGTAGGGGAGCTAACATCCTGGCCGCCATAAGGAAAGCGGCTAACCAGAGGATGGAGCCCGTACCTCTAACACAATGAGACCTTTACAAAAAAAAAAAAGTTAAAAGCAAAACTTTTTTATAATGAAGAGCTGTAAGTAATCTAAGTGTTCATCAACAATAGAAAGGCTGAGTAAATTGTAGTGCTGTCTCACAATGAAACACTGCAGGATTAAAAGGATAAATCTCTGGATAGGGGCAGGCAGCCCTATTTCACCCTCCTGCTAACACAGACCCTGTGGGCATCCATGATGACTCAAGTTGTTGGGTTCCCACCACCTGTGTGGGAGACGTGGGTTGAATTTGCAGCTCCCAGCTTTAACCTGGCCTGGCCTTGGCCTCTGTGGGCATTTAAGGAGAGAACCAGCAAAAAGGACCTGCCGCCTCCAGACTGAGTCTCCCATGTGGGTGACAGGGACCCAAGCACTTGAGCCATCACCTGCTGCCTCCCAGGGTGCGCACTGGCAGGAAACAGAACTGGAAGCAGAGCCAGAGCCTGAACCCAGACACTCCAGTCTGGGATGTGGATGTCCCAAGGGGCATCGTGTGCCCAATCCTTGCTCCTAAAGTTTTTTTTTTATTGATTTTTATTTATTTGAAAGACAGAGACAAATACCTTCTGTCTGCTTGTTCACTCTTCAAATACCCACTACAGCCAGAGCTGGGCCAGGCCAAAGCCACAAGCCTAGAACTCAACCTGGGTCCCACACACAGGGAGCAGGAACCCAAAATACTTGAGCCATCACCGGCTGCCTCCCAGGGTGTGCCTTGACAGGAAGCTAGATTGGAAGCTGATCAAGGACTCGAACCCAGACACTTGGATATGGGATGAAGGCATCCCAAGCAGCGTCCTGACTACGGTGCCAAATGTGTATTTATATTTAAAAGTTCACCAAAAGTCCCATACGGCCTCCTGCTATGTTTGATGCCCAAACCAATCACTCAGAGCTGATGTTTGTGTTCAGTGGACATCGCCTGCTCTGGGTATGCATCGTGAAAAGACTACAAAAGCATGTTGTGGTTTCAGTAACTTGATAAACACTGGTCTGTCCACAACATGCAGAACAGACAAATCAATTACCTGGGTCAGAGGCCCCAGACGACCCACAGTAATTAGGCCACATCACCAGAAGATAAAACACAGCTCCAGCCCGCTGACGTCAGCCACTGGCAACACAACTGTTGGGAAACATCCACACTGTCTGCCTGGAACTATCCTGGTGCTTCACACTGGCCCCGAGAACTGCTAAAAATGGCCCCATCTGCATCCGTCTCCAGAGTCAAGGTGGCTTGCTGTATGCTAAGTCACTGTCACCCACCGAGTTTGCCACGTTGGGAAGCAAGTCACAAGGCAGAGTGCTCACCCCCCTTGGAACAAACACCTGCTCATACCCGTCCTGCCAGCAGGCCTGGAGAACCCATCTAGGACACTGCGGAGCCCGGGAGCCTTCAGCTACAGCGCATCCAAGAGGGTCAGCAGAGAGGTGGGCTCCCCCCCGCATGGGAGACGAGCCCCTCCACCACTCATGCGCACACTGCGTCCTGGCCTCGGGATGTCCTCGCCCCACCCTCACCACAGCCCTCCTCCAGGAGCCCAGCACAGGAGGTGCTGCATTGAGCAGGCTCTGAAAAGGGAAAAGAAATTCGAGGACGCCAACTTCCTCCCCTCTGAAGAAGCGGAGGGATGGAAAGGGAGTCTGTCGGGGGTTTCCGGGCTCTTGGAGCTTCCAGGGAGGTTTCCAAACGTCGCACAGATCCAGGAAGGCCAGGCCGCCCCTCCCCGCCTGCCACAGAGGGAAGGGGACCGGGGAGCTTGACTCGCCCAGAGGCTGGCACCATGGTGGCCTTTGCTGGTGTAAGTGGGGGCACTGCCTTTGCAAGCCCCCTCTCCCATTCCCATAGAAAGGACGGTGGCAGGGAGAGCAGGCTGCCCCGGGCCGCAGGCCGGAGCCGGGAGCTGCAGCCCTGCGTGAGCGAGGGCGGGCAGAGGGAGGCCTACCTGTGTAGTGCACCACACACGTTTGGCCCTTCTTGGGAAACGTCCTCCCTGCAAGGAGACATGAAGGCGGGTGAAGGGATGGTCAAGTGTGAATGTGACCAGAGCTCGGGCCCGCCCTGCCCTGCAAACCCGAGAAACGGAGGGCTCTGGGCCTGGTCTGGGCCACAAGTCACAGTCACTGCTCTCTGGCCTGGTTTTGAACTCTATGCCCTTGGCTTCCTCAACTCCTGTCTCTGGTTGGTTTTCCCTTTCTCGGCTCCCTTTACTTCTCTTCATCCATTCCACAAGCATTTACGGACAGCTTACCGCGTGCTAGGCCTGGACTGGATTCCAGGGACGCGATATATGAACTCATGAGGAAGTTAGGAAAATATACTGAAGTATGAGATTCTAATGCAGAGTGCTGACCGCTGGCGAGGAGGAACAAACATAATCATTCTCGACAGTTACTGAGTGCCTGGCGTGTGCCCGGCCTGTGCCTGGTCCCGGGGATAGAGCAGTGAACAATACAGACCAGTTTTGTGAACTTGGTTAGAATTTGCTTTCTAAAGGAGTGAGACAAACGGTAAGCAAATAAATAAGTAGGGATTGTGATAAGTGCATTAACGACAATAAACACAATGATGAGTTGGAGACACAGTGGGTGTGCCCTTTTAAAAGCAGTGGTCCAGGGTGGTCCAGGGTGGTCTGGGAAAGGGGCACCTTTGAGCTGGGATGGGAAGGATGAGCAGAATTCTGGGAAGAGGAGGTAACAAGGTCATGGACCAGGGGCAGGAGAGGACGGGCGGGGCAGGGAGGCTGGCAAGGTGGGTGGGGGGAGCAGGAGTTGGATGCTGCAGGACCCAGAACCATTTCAATCCTGAGTGCAACAGGAAACCACAGGGGGATTTTGAGCAGGAGGAATGACATAATCTGAATTAAGATTTTATAAGATCCCCGTGGCTGCTGTGTGTAGGATGGATGGGCTCCTGTTGCAATAATCCAGACAAGAAATCGATGAGGGCTTCAATTAAGGCAGTGGCAGCAGAGAAGAGAGCAGAGTAGATCTGAGATAGATTTGGGAAGTGGAGCTGACAGGGCATGGGAAACAGACTGAGCAGGGGTCCGGGATGTAGGAAAAGTGGGACGAGGCTTGGAGTGGCTGCTTCGGGCTGGCGGAGAGGGTGCGGGGCTTCGTTCCCTGAGTTGGGAAGGCTGAGGAGGGACAGATTCGTGGGGGTGGCAATCTTGCGATGCCTAGCAGACATCTGAGGCTGCAGTGGGCAGATGGGAGTCTGCATGGGAGGTATAAATGTAATGCCATGGGGCCAGATAGCAAAAACCAGGCAAGGCACCGGCCAGGCCAACATAAACAGGACTCTGGAGCGGGGAGGAGGGCAACCGAGTGACAGGGGAGCCAAGGAGAATGTCAGGGAGATGATGGGGAAAGGGGGCCCAGAGGATGAGCAGGAATTTGCCAGAAGGGACAGAATCCGGGAAGAGGGAGCGCCCGTCGGCTCGGGTGGAAATGGCAGGAGCCCTCTTCCACCACTGGGACCTGGGGTCTAGCACACAGCAGGTGTTCAGTAAATATTTGCTGAGCCAGTGCTGTGTTGAACAACTTGCAGGCAGCTTGGGGAAGCTGGAGAAAAAGGTGGTGGCGGGCGTGAGAAGAGGTAGACACAAGGGAAGTTCTAGGTGGATGGCGCTGCCTGTCAGAGAAAGGAGAGAGGAGATGCCTGGGGGAGGGGCATGGCCAAAAACGTCTTTTAAAAAGGGTCCTCAGGCTGAGCTTTCGGAAATGAATGGGAGTGAGAGTGAGACCGGGAGGCCGGACTGAAGGCAGGGAGGTGAGTCGGAAAGTGCAGAGCAGGCCGGAGGCTCAAGTGTCCCCTGGGACGCAGCGCCACGTTCCCCGAGGGGGCAGAGGCCTGCACCCCAGGGGCGATCCGGGCTGCGGGCTGGGCGGTCCCGGGGCCACTGCCTCTCAGGAGGGAGCTGGCCTGCAGCCAGCAAACCCTGCTGGGGAGGGGCCGCCAGTGCATCTGAGACAAGTTCGCTCCCCCAGCCCTGCAGTCGTGAGGGCTCCTGTTTGAGAAATAAAGAGATGTCCGCCCAGACCCTCACGGGGAGTTGGGGAAGTCAGCAGGGCTAGTTGCACTCGCGGACTCTACGGTCTCCTGGGCCACCCAGGCGGAGGTGGAGCTGTGGGCGCAGAGGCTCCAGTTTGGCAGCCAGGGACTTGGACAGGGGAATGCGAGGGGCGCAGAGGACGAGGCGCGACGCGGAGGCGACCCGGGAAACGCCCCTGTGTCCTGGCGCGGCTCTGACCCCGGCTTCCTAAAGCCAAGCCCGGGGTGCGCGCGACAGCCCGGCGGAGAGGGGCGCAGGGGCGGGAGGGTCCTTTCCCAGGCGTCCAGCGCTCAACCCGCAGGGCGGGGGAAGCGGGGATGAAACCTGGCCCCAGGGCATCAGCAGCAGCGGATGGGCGAGCGCTTCCAGCAGCCGAGGGTGGCCCAGGCCCCCAGGCGGTGGCGGCCGCAGACCCCGCCTCCGGGCCACCGCCTTCTCCCCGGGGTGAGCGGCGCGAAGGGATAAGGTGGGGATCGCCTCCGAGACCCCAGGAGTCTCGTCGGGGGTCTCCTCCCGCCGCCCCATCCGGGACCCGCTCCGCCCTCACCCCCGCCGCCCCCGGCCACCTCGGCATCAGACCCCCGCCCGCCCGGCTCCGCCCCGGGACCCCTCCTCCTCCCCCGGCTCGGCCACCCGGTACCGTCTCCGGGGGAGATGGTCTCGATCTCCACGCCCATCGCGGTCCCACAGGCCCCGCCTCCGGGGGGGTCCCCGCTGCTGCGCGACCCCTGCTCGGCTCGGCCCGGCCCCGGCCCCGCAGGCGCTCGACTCGCCGCCCCGCCGCCACTGCAGAGCCGGAGGAGGTGCGGCTGGAGTCGGGACCTGCGCGGGGAGGGGCCGCCGGCACGGGGGCGGCGGGGCGGGGCCGCGCGCAAAGGTGGGGTCGCCGGGGCGGGGCCCCAGCGCGGCCAGGCATTAACCCGCTGACCCGGGAAGGTGGTGAGCGAGACTGACGTACACTCTCCCGGCCATCCGGCCACACATCCATCCATGCATGCATGCATCCATCCATCTACCCATCCATCCTTCAAGCCATCTGTCCAATACATAGTTTTTAAATTTACAGATATTTATTTTATTTATTTGAAAGAGAAAGTTGGGGCCGACGCTGTGGCGAAGCGGGTAAAGTCGCCACCTGCAGTACCGGCATCCCATATGGGCGCTGGTTCGAGACCCGGCTGCTCCACTTCTGTTCCAGCTCTCTGCTATGGCCTGGGATAGCAGTAGAAGATGGCCCAGGTGTTTGGGCCCCTGCGCTTGCATGGGAGACCCGGAAGAAGCTCCTAGCTTCAGATTGGCGCAGCTCCGGCCATTGCAGCCACTTGGGGAGTGAACCAGGGGACAGAAGACCTCTCTCTCTCACCTCTCCTTCCTCCTTCTCTTTCTGTGTAACTCTGACTTTAAGATAAATAAAATAAATCTTAAAAAATGGGTGGGGAGAGTTACGTTGAGAGGGATATACAGAAAGAAGTCTTCCATCCGCTGGTTCACTCCCAAAAGGAGGAGATGGTCGGGGCTGGGCCAGGTGGAAGCCAGGAGCCCAGAGACCCACCTGGGTCTCTACGTGGATGCGGGAACACAAACACTAGGTCCATCTAACGCTGCCTTCCCAGGTGCATTAGCAGGGAGCTGGGTCGGAAGTGGAACGGCCTCCATCGCCGGTGGGGGCTTAATCTGCGGAGCCATAACCCGCGCGCCCCCAGGACATGTTTACTTAGGGCCCAATCTGTGCTAAGCTCTGGGGAGCCCACCTGGCGCTCCAGGCCGGGGGGGGGGGGGGGGGGCTGGCAATTCAGTCAGCGCTCTAATTAGATGTGCTCAGTGCCAAGGAACTCCGAGAGGGGCCTATCTCGGCTAAACTCTCCGGTCTGTGGGAGCGGGGGCCTAGCGGGGGACTCCAGTCGGGCGCTCCCCGCCCTCCAGTACCTGCACGCACATCTGTCGGGCTCTCACTGTTCTAGTGAGGACTGCGCCCTGGGGATGCCGTGGAATCGACAGGACGGGCTTCTCCGGGAGTGAAGTCTTGGACAGGGGATTGCAGACACCTGGAGCTCCTCCCGTGCCGGACCCTTCCATTCCAGGACTCCAGAGCGGTAACTCTGAAGGCACTAACATTGCCTTTATGGATGAATGGGACTTGGAAAGACGCTCTCACCCCACCCGCACTCTCACCTGCCTTGTGCCACAAAGTCATGCGTTCTCAGTGCTGACAGGCGGCACTGGCAGGCCGGCATGGGAGGGGCCGCCGGGCAGGGTGCCCGGGTCAGGCCCAGGGGCGTCCATTCCCCAACCCAGTCTAGACTGCCCCTAGGGTCCGGGGCGAGGCGTAGGGGGGAGGCCAGGCGTGTTCAGGACCCCTGGGGGCCGCTCCGGGGGCAGCTGGGTCTGTGGGCTGCCACCGGGGGCGGGAGTATCTGGAGCACCTGCAGGATGGGGCCTTGCCCCTGGGACAGACCCACCAAGAGGCTTCGGTGGAACGCACGATACTCTGTGTACAGAAAAATTTTTTCTGGGGATGTTGTATCGGAAGTTAAAGGGGTCCCAAGACACGTCCTATAACCCCTCCCCCCCCAAAAAAAAAGGGTGATAAACCTTGTCCCGATCTCTTAGACTAAGAATCAAGGAGAAGTTGGGAAAGGGCCAAAACACTTAAAGTAGGGAGAAATTGTGGCCGAATTACAGTAGGAGTCTAACGGGGACTACAACTCCCAGAGACCCATGCGGCAAAGACCGAGTTTATTGGTTAGTAGGCAGACCCTCCCCTTTCGTGACACATGCAAAAGCCAATAGAAAGAGGGCATTGCCGATTTACTAGCTACCGCTCGCCTATCAGAGGACTGGAGTCTGTGCTTCCGGTTGATGCCCTGGGAGTCTGACCTGCGGTCGGCTAAGGGGGGCTGCGTGGGAGGGGCCTGTTATGTGTGTGTGCTTCCCGAACGAAGGTAATTCGTGTCTAACGCTGCGGAGCCTGGCTGGCGTGGGGAGGCTGGGGACTGGCGGGGAGGGAGGTGAACCGGCACTGGGGCGATAGGTCCCGGGAGAGAGCGTCCAGGCGTGGGGCGCGGTCGGGGAGCACTGCGCGGGCCGCGTGTGAGGGGCCGGAGGCTGCGGGCCCGGCAGGAAGGAGATAAGAGGGGGCCTCTCCTGCGGCTCCCACCGTGGGGCTCCTGGAAGTTACGCAGAATAACCGGCGCTGTGCACGAAGGCCTTTATAGCACCGCTATTTGTAGTAGGAGCGAGTTGGCGGCAGCCAGGTGTGGAAGAGTAAATCAAGTATGGCGCAGTGGACGGAGTGGCTTCTAAAACTAACTCGTGAAACTTTGAAATAACAAGGAAGATGCTGCTACAGAGTGTAGGTGGGGAAGCCCGCGACCCGGTGTAGTGCACTGGGTAAATGAAACGCGCGGGCAGCCCGGGCCTGGGCAGCCCGGGCCGGACACGCCGAGCCGGCGAGGCGTCAGTCGCAGCCGGGCTTGGCGCTTTGCATCAGTTGACTAGTTAGCCTGTGCCCAGCACTTAGGTTCTCCGTGGGTACCCGCAGTGCGTGTTGGCGGGAGGAATTCTCATCTGTTCAGGTTCTGGGGCTCCCTGATTCTCAGGCGGTTTGTTTTGTTTGCTTTATTTTGTTTATAAATGGCTCTGATGAACTCTGTTGAATTTAATTAGCTTTCTTTTACTACTACGATTGAGAAAGTGTAACAAACCAAGATGGTGCATTAAAAAAAAAATTCGGGATGGATAGAATCATAATTTTCCTTGTGTAAATATTTTTTGGTGAAATTTTTTAACCTTTCTCTTACGCGATTTTTTTTAAAGTGAGTATAAAGAACTTGAACTTATTTTATGGTAGAAATACAATAAGCTTGCAGAAGCAGGTTGAGGGATAGGTACCTAACCTAACCGGCTGGAAATGTCCCACTTCACCCGTGTCACTTGGTTCTTCCTGTGAGCGATCTTTAAAGATAAGAACAGAGGAAGTAACTGTTCTGTGCTGAGCACCAGTCTGAGTTCTGACCCCTCTGCTCTGAACAGTGGTCCTCTCGTTCTCTAAAACTCACTGAGCTTCGGATTCAGAAAGGTTGTGGTCTGGGATGGAGTGATAACAGGCATAGAGCTAGCTTCAGGCAAATGTACATTATATTCTTTTTATTTTATTTTTTTAAGATTTATTTATGTGGGGCCAATGCTGTGGCATAGAAGGTAGAGCTGTCACCTGCTGTGCCAGCATCCCATATGGGCGCCAGTTTGTGTCCCAGCTGCTCCTCTCCCAATCCAGCTCTTTGCTTATGGCCTTGGATAGCAGTAGAATATGACCTAAGTGTTTGGGCCCCTGCATCCATGTGGGAGACCTGGAAGAAGCTCCTGGCTTCAGATTAGCCCAACTCCCACCATTGCTGCCATTTGGAGAGTGAATCAGTGGATGGAAGCTAAATTGATCTCTCTTCTCCCTCCGCACCAACCCTGCCTTTCAAATAAAATAAATAGATCTTAAAAAAAAAAGAGATGTATCTATTTAAAAGGCATAGTTACAGAGAGAGAGGGAGAGACAGAGAAAGAGAAAGAGAGAATCTTCTGTCTGCTGGCTCACTCCCAAATGGCCCCAACAGCCTGGGCTGAACCAGACTGTAGCCAGGAGCTTCATACTGGTGGTCTCCCATGTGGGTGGCATGGGCCCAAGCACTTGAACCATTCCCACTGCTTTCCCAGGCGCATTAGCAGGGAACTGGATGGGAAGTGGAGCAGCCGTGGCTTCTCCCACCATGCCACAACCAGGCAAATGTAAATTATAAAAAAAAAAATTATTTGTTTGAAAGAGACTGACATATCTTCTACTAATTTACTTCCCAAATGCCTGCAATAGCCAGGAGGGATCCAGGAGCCCAGAACTCAATCCAGGTCCCCCATGTGGGTGGCAGGGACCCAAGAACCAAGCCTTCACCCGCTGCCTCCCCCTGTATAATTAGCAGGGAGCAGGAGGCAGAAACAGAGCCAAGATTCTAACTCAGGTGCCCCATGTGGGATGCAGGCGTCTCAGTGGCTTCTTAGCTAATGCATCCAGCGCCTGCCCTCAAATTGTAAATTTTTTTATTAAGATAGGAATTGTGTTGGCCGGCGCCGCGGCTCACTAGGCTAATCCTCCGCCTAGCGGCGCCGGCACACCGGGTTCTAGTCCCGGTCGGGGCGCCGGATTCTGTCCCGGTTGCCCCTCTTCCAGGCCAGCTCTCTGCTGTGGCCAGGGAGTGCAGTGGAGGATGGCCCAGGTGCTTGGGCCCTGCACCCCATGGGAGACCAGGAAAAGCACCTGGCTCCTGGCTCCTGCCATCGGATCAGTGCGGTGCGCCGGCCGCGGCGGCCATTGGAGGGTGAACCAACGGCAAAGGAAGACCTTTCTCTCTGTCTCTCTCTCTCTCTCTCTCACTGTCCACTCTGCCTGTCAAAAAAAAAAAAAAAAAAAAAAAAGATAGGAATTGTGGAATTCCTAAAGGTCATCTGAACTTTGGTCTTGGCTGTCTAAGGTACTTTGTTGCCTTAAAGGCTTTCTATGTGAAGTGCATTTGACACTAAGTTTATCACTACACACACCTTTTCTTAAAGATTTATTTATTCGGAAGGCAGAGTGACAGAGAGGTCTTGTGTCTGCTGCGATCACTCCCCAAATGCCCGCCAGAGCTAGGGTTGGGTCAGGCTGAAGGCAGGAGCCTGTGACTCCATCCGGGTCTCCCGTATGGGTAGCAGGGACCCAAGCACCTGGGCCACCTGCTGCCTTCCCTGCTTCCCTGGTGTGTTAGCAGGGAGCTGGATTGGAAGTAGAGCAGCTTGGACTCAAACAGCTGCTCCAGGCTAGGCATCCCAAGTGGTGGCCTAACCAGTGCACCAGGATGCCCGCCCCCACACACCCTTCTTACCTTTGAAGCTCGCTCTGTCTTCTGCGTCTCGGGTTAGTGTTCAGAAACTTCCCAGGCTGACCCTCGGAGTGTTGTCCCTGGTTGTTGTTCTTCCTCAGTGCTCATGGGAAAGCACTGTTGCGGCTCCACTGTGGCTCCGTTGGATCTGGCCCTTTCTCTACTGAAACAGCTTCACACAGTGGCATTCACACTGTTTCATGGCCCCTTATTAAACTCGAGACTTTGTTCCTTCTGGTGAGTGTGTGCTAGTTCCCCCACCTCCTCAGTAGTCAATATCTGGTCATGTGAGTCCGTAAAAGCCTTTTTATTCCTTTTTAAACTGATACATAAAACTGTACATATTTATGACGTACCATGTAATGTGTCAATATATGCATACATTGTGTAATGTCCAATCAGAGTAACATATCTCTATAGAATTTTTTTTTTTTTTTTTGCTTTTTAAAGATTTATTCTATTTATTTGAAAGGCAGAGTGACAGAGAGGGAGAAACAGAAAGAGATTTTCCTCATGGTTCATCATTCCCAGATGGCTGCAGCTGCCAAGGCTGGGCCAGGTCAAAGCCAGGAATCTGGAACCCGATCCAGGTCTCCTAAGTGGGTGACCAGGGCCCAGGTACTTGGGCCACATCTTCCACTGCTTTCCCAGGCCCATGAGCAGTGACTTGGATTAGAAATGGAGCAGCCAGGACCCAGCCTCATGCTCTGATATGGGATGCGGGCATTGGCAACAGCGGCTTAAACCACTCTACCGCAAAGCCAGCTCCTCTTCCATTGTTTTCTTTTTTGAAGAAAAATATATATTATCTTTTTTTCTTGTAATAGAACACCAGAACTTAATGCTAACTAGAGCTTTTTACGTGTTAAGTAACCTTTTCTTATTCCTACTTTCTTCCTTCTTACTCGCCTCAACCACTGGTATCCACAATATACTCCTTATTTTATGAGATCAACTTTTAAATTTTTATTGTTTATTTGAGAGACAGAACTCCCGTACACTAAGTTACTCCTCCAGTGCCTACAGTGGCCTTGGCTGTGGCTTGAGCCAAGAACCCAAAATGCAATGCGGGTCTCCCAGGAGTGTGGCAGGAACCATTACTTCAACCATCATTGCTACCTCCAGGGCCTGCATTGATTGACAGGAAATCGGAGTTAGGACATGGAGCAGGGAGTTGAATTCAGGCACTCCAAAGTGGGTCTTAACCACTAGGTTAAAGACCTGCTCCTTCATTGTGGCTTTGGTTTGCACTTCTCTGGTGGTTAGTGATGTTAAGCAATTTTTCATGTACTTTTTAGCTATTTGTATGTCTTTTGAAAAATGTCTGGGGGCTGGCACTGTGGTGCAGTAGGTTAATCCTCCGCCTGTGGCACCAGCATTGCATTTGGGCACCGGTTCTAGTCCCGGCTGCTCCTCTTCCGATCCAGCTCTGCTATGGCCTGGGAAAGCAGTGGAAGATGGCCCAGTTCCTTGGGCCCCTGCACCTACGTGGGAGACCCAGAGGAAGATCCTGGCTCCTGGCTTCAGATCAGCTCAGCTCCAGCCATTGTGGCCATCTGGGAAGTAAACCAACGGAAGGAAGACCTTTCTCTCTGTCTCTCCCTCTCACTATAACTCTACCTCTCAAATAAATAAATAAAATCTTAAAAAAAAAAAAGAGGCTGGCGCTGTGTGGCACAGTGGGTTAATGCCCTGGCCTGAAGCTCTGGCATCCCATAAGGGCACCAGTTTGAGACCTGGCTGCTCCACTTCCGATCCGGCTCTCTGCTGTGGCCTGGGAAAGCAGTAGAAGATGGCCTGGGTCCTTGGGCTCCTGCACCCATGTGGGAGACCCGGAGGAAGCTCCTGGCTCCTGGCTTCTTTTTTTTTTTTTTGACAGGCAGAGTGGACAGTGAGAGAGAGAGACAGAGAGAAAGGTCTTCCTTTGCCGTTGGTTCACTCTCCAATGGCCGCCGCGGCCAGCGCACTGCGCTGATCCGATGGCAGGAGCCAGGAGCCAGGTGCTTCTCCTGGTCTCCCATGGGGTGCAGGGCCCAAGC